TCTCACTGAACCTGGAGTTTGCTTTTTCAGTGACATTGTCAGCCAGCAAGTTCCAGCAAAGCCTTCTGTCTGTCTTCCAACCCTTAGCTCTGGAATTCTAAAGCCAGAGCCTCCTACCTTTTATGGAGATGGTGGGGATTTGAACTCAAGTCCTTATACACTAGGGTATCTCTCCTCTCCTCTTCTCTCTCTCTCTCTCTCTCTCTCTCTCTCTCTCTCTCTCTCTCTCTCCATCCTGGTTTCTGTTTCTCAAAGAGATACAGATATAAACATTTCCCCACTGGTGTTTTTTAAAGTCTAACACAGGGTCAGATAAATAAGGTCTTTGGGTCAAATCTAGCCCACCACTTATTTTGTAGATAGTTTTAAAATTCATTTAATCAACTTTATTAATTATTGTGACTGCTTTGGCACCATAGCATCTGTTGTGTGACTGACAGAGATCATACTACTTAGCCTTTTATGAAAAAGTGTTTTGAGGAAAAGAAAGTTTCCATAGTTGTCTGAAAAACCAGCGAGAGACACAGCGGCCAACTATTGGGGTTTGCCCCCACAGAGTGCTGCTTTTGCTCCCTCTGTTTTCTCTGTGTGCATTTAAACAAGTCCCATTTACTTCCCACAATGCAAGTTCTTCATTCATAAAGGTAAGGAAGTGCACACGTAAGAAGGTAATCAGTAGCAAGCACAAAAGCACCCAGTCAAGCCTAAGTTGCTGCACAGATCTGCAGCATCAAATGTCCAGGTTACCACGTCTGCTCCGTTCTTGCCCCTTCTGGGCGGCAGCTCTGTGGCAGGGTCTACTCTCACTTCCCTTCCCAGTCTGGATCTGGGCCTAGGCCAATGCTGTGGGTTTCTTTAGCTGGTAATAGACAATTTGCTCCTAATTTAGAGTCTTTAGAATAATTAATTTGGTTTTGGGATACAAGGAACATGTGATTAAGTAATTATATTCCTTTCTCTCTGAAGGGTCATGGTTAAAAGGCAGTGCCTTCTAGCCAATGGCATCGAAGCTCCACTCTTGGGCGATAAAGGCCCTTTGCCAGTTGGCCTCATTAAGTCCTTGACATGAGCTCCCCTGATTTGTTATTAAACTGTGCTCAGTCCTCAACAATTTCACATTTCTATCCCAGGGCTTTGGAGTCACACCTTCACGGCAGCCCTCTGCTGGGTTTAGACCCTTTATTGTACAGAATTTCTCCTGTGTCTAATCCCTCATCTACCACAATTACTGCCTTACAGAAAAACATAATTCCATAATTGCTCTTCCCCGTGAAACATTAAAATCCTGATCTCTTTCCTTATCACATATCAAGACGAATAGGAAATTCAGTCCTGTCTACAAAGGGACAGACTTGTTCTTTCATATCCAGCATCTCCTTCCTGTCTTCTGGGTCGTGCACTGGAGGCTCCGGCATTAAAGCATTGTGGTGTCCGAGAATAACAAGGCGGGGAGCTAAGGCCTGAGGGAAAGCTCTCAGTGATGGCGGGAGATGCAGAGCACGCAGCCCGTACAAGCGCCACACGCAGAGTCTTCCTCCCTCCCTGACCTCACCTGTTTTAAGTTTTCTTTAGACTCTGGCAAGCAAGAGGTCAATTCTCCGTGTGCTTGTTGCAAATTGTGATTTTTGAGACATCATAAACACAATTACATTTTTATAGTAAATTACAGACTCTTGGCTCTAGTCTACCAATGAATCTGGTAAGGCACGGGACACTTGATTAATTATATCAGAAGTGCTGAGAATAACTTTCAAAGAGTTTATAAATATTAAAACTTTGCCTATGAAATATATTTACTCCAATAGACAAGTATAAATATTTCTTTAAAGGAAAACAAGAACAAGAGGGCGTTCTGTCAGATCTCCCACACCTATCTGCTCAAGCTCCTAAGGGCCGGCTTTGGGGCTGGGAACACAGCTTAGTGGGCCAGCAGCTGGTCAGCTAACACACACAACAAGTGTGCTGATCCTAGCACCAGAAAGAGAAACAAGTAGAAAAAGAAGTGTTTCAGGGATCCACCGTCTCCAAGGGCTTGGCGAGTTTTAGCTGAGCAGATAGCACACACAAAGGACACTCGTGAAAGTACAATGGAGACCCGACCTTGACGTACATACACATCCCATCTACCATCGCTAAAGCTGTGGATTTGGGCTGAAAAACTGAAGAGAGTAACTAACAAATCGACATTGGAGAAACAAGGAAATGTCCTTCTGCCCTGCCTTTCCTTTAACTGATATCGAAGGACACTTAGGAAATATCAGTTAATATCAGTTTTACATAGTCATCCATCCAATGATCATTAGAGCCAGGCAGTCCTGCATCCCAATATAATGCTACTACTCATTAAAGATGACTTTGGACACACAAAACTTAACTTCCCTTTGCCTCTGATTTATAGAACCCAAATCAAGATCCTCATAGCTAATTCATAGCGCTGCTATTAGGATTAAGTGAGATATATTTACATATTCAGAGTGGAGAAGCCGAGTTTTCAAAGGAAGGATATTATTGCCACAGTCAACATTGTGAATGATCTTTGCATTACTACCGTGAATGAAACAGGAAGCCCTAAAGGCTAGCTTACAGCATGGATATCTTTGTAATGAAATGAAGAGCAACTAACATTAAGGAATTCAATTTAACTATAGGAAGCATCCGATAATGAATATTGGGCTTGTGAGCCTGATTGTCTTAGTGGAGCAAGGCAGGGGACAGGGCAAGGACAGGAGTCACATGATTAGGCTTACATTATTGGTTATTTTTAAAAATCTTTTCTTTAGGGTAGGATATTCTTTGCTGCAATTACAGAATTTTAAAATTACTAAGAAGACTGGAATATAAACAGATAACTTAATGGATAGTGGCACTTAAAAATACTGTCAAGATCCATCTTTAAAAAAGAGAAATAAAGTGGGAAAGGTACATGATGGTCTCCGCTGCACTGAAACACCAGTTCTCTGCTGTTTGTAGGTACTAAGCAAACACTGAGTGAGGTTATCTACGTAGTGACCTTGCCTTACTATCTAGAGCCGGGAAGCCTAGCTTCCATGAAAGACTAATAGGTACCACCCAGTGACCTGAAGTCCTAAGCCCTCTTCCTAGTGTTGACCTCCACTTCCTTTCTCCCCTCCTTCTCTCTCCTCCTTTTCTCCTTCTCATTCTCCCTCGCCACATTTCTCTCTTACTTTAGAATTTGTTACTTAGGCCTAGCTGAAAATGATCCTGCATAAAGCTAGGCATCAAAGCTACGATTTCTTGAGAGCCATAGCAAACATGATGCTTCCCTCTATAATGATAGTGTGTTTTCTTCAAAACACTTGATTCCAAATACATACTATATTAATGTTTAAGACCTGGGACGACTAAGTAGGTAGTCTGACAAATGTTTGTGATTGCAAACTCGCTGTTGCCTCCATGTTGGGGCTTACAATGTTAAGAGATTTCTATGTTGCATGAATGCACCCACTATATAAAGCAAAAATAATAACCTATATATGTAATTGCAAAATAAATGCTATTAAAAGCCCATTTTATATGGAGAGGGAGATCAAGGAATCATGTAAGAAACATGACCATGTCAAACAATTAATGGGACGGGAATATGATCTAATCCTAAAACTGGGGACACTAGTAAGTTCAGTAAAGCTGCAATACAGATACAACGGAAGTTTACTTTTTTTTTTTTTTTTACCCCACCTACCCTTGTAGTGGTCCAGATGATCTACGATGTTTACTATGTTCTAACAACATAGAGGCACAGCCTGAGGACTCCTCTCTGTAGGGGGCTTGAGTGTCACGAGCCGATCATTTGGACATCTCAATGTAAGGGCAGAAGATGAATGATTTGTTTAAAATAATTTGTGTGGGTGTGATACGGGCAGGTTATGGGAAAATGCCTTTGAGGGTACCCTTCTTATGTTAAAGCAGAGAGTAAGATGAGAAAAAATGTGTGGTGAGTACATAGATACCTAGATGACATCAGGTGATAAAACATGACCCTAGAAGGCTTTGAGAAAAAGTATTTGTTGGATCCCGAATGTCCTTTCCTTTGTGGTTGTTTGTTTCTTCCTTTTTAAGATCTCCCATGCTATAAGGTACCCGGCATACTAATTCCCTCCATAGCCCCAAAGCCTCAGACTGACCAGTCCAAGGTCATATAGTCACTGTTTCACTGGCCTGTTCTGGAAGTACGGCCTCTTTGGGCAATGAGGTAAAACATTCAAATGTTAAATTGCATTCCATGAGCCAGGAGGATAGTTCAGTGGGTCAAGGCGCTTGCCACAAGCCTGAGACCAAGTTCAGTTCCTCAAACATACACGGTAGAAGGAAAGAACCAACTGATGGAAGTCATTCTCTAAGCTACAGCATGTGAGGGTTCATGCAACCATACACATACACACACGCATGCACCACAAATATATATATTTTTAAAGCTCTTTAAACCTCAATCCAATTGATACCAAGTAAAGAACAGAATCAAACTTGGAGAGTGTTTCTCCATAGGACATAAGCAATATGATCCTGCTTCAAGAATAAGCAGCATTGGGACACACCCATAATGTGGGATCTCTTTCTTTCTTCTGTGTATAGCTGACTTTTTTATATGTAAAATTTATGTGCTTTTACCATATCAACTTATGGTAGTACAGTCTGTTAAGCTATGTATGGAATACCTAGATCTTTTAGAGTTCCCAGTAATCTTCCATGTTTGCTGATCTGCTTTTAATTTGTCAAAGTCCTCTTCTAAGAGACTTTGCACGCACGCACACAGCCGGCACAGACGCCCTCTGTACAGTGTGTATCTGATATGTTTGATGTTCCTCTTTGACACATAGAGAGGTTGGCATAAGAAGCGGGTAAATTCCAGGAAGCATTTAAAGGGTCTAGCCATATACAGATGCATGAGAACAACATGTTACATGCTTGATAAATATTTCATCTCTCTCATAAAGAAAGCTTTCAATCAACTTTGATTGTTCCTTTTTTATTATTATTATTACCTTAAAGTATTGGAGTTGTTTCTCGGCACTCATTCCTTCCTTCTCTTGTCTCAGACAGGAATTGAAGATGAGAAGCTCCGTATCTCTTAGCCACCTCTTCAGTTCTTTGATCCTGACCTCCAGCTGCCTTACCAGGCTTCCACTCTCTGGAGACAGCAGGTCACGTGGGCCTGATGCACCCTGCCCTGCCGCTGGATCCTGTATCTTCTCTCTTAGGGTTTTCTAATGCATCAGATTAAAAGTAAGAAGAAAAACAAACCAAAATAAAAATAGGTGAGCTGACAAGTCAAAAAATAGATTGCAGGAGATAACACAAGACCGTGCACAGTGACCCCTTCCACCTCATGACTGACATTCGGTTCTGATGTGCTTGCTGGCGTCTTTGGGGCTTGCTTATTAGTCCCACTATCAACAGATGCACAGGCACCTTCATTCCTTAGACTTGCCTTTCCCGGGAAAGGGCTTCAGTCCAAGTCAACACCATCATGAACAAAAATTCATCTGAAGTCTCATGGCCAAAGTTCTACAGTGAAAAGATGTCTTACATAAAGTGTTCAAGAGACAGAAGCCTGAATCAGTGAATTGGTGTACAGAGGCCAGGAGTACAGAGAATTAAGTTCCTTTTTTTATTCTTCTGTGAGGTATGATTCCCCAAATAAAATGAAAGAGGACACTTAAGAAGGTATTCTGGGGTTCAGTTGTTGTCAGTTTCTCATGACTTGGAGTGCTTCAGCCCCATGGTTCTTCCTGTTTGGCTTTTTGGATGCAGATAATTTAATAGCTATGTGAAAGCCACGCTCAATTCGCTGTGCCATTGATGAGCTCATGGAGACTAAGCACTATGGCATAGAGGTGTTTTGCGAGCTGGTTTTCCTTTCTTTCCCTTTGGTAGAAACACTCTTTACATAATCAATAGGATTTAATCTATAATGATAAATTAAAGCTAGAAAAATACGCTTTAAAACACAAATAAAATTAAGTCAACAAACATTCATCTGCTCCACTGTGTTCTGGAAATAGTAGCTTTAGGAGCTCACGACAGAAGAATCGCCTTTTGTGGCAACACCCTTGCATTTTCATGGTGCAAATATTGATAATTTGAAGGCCCTCGGTGGAATCCAGATTTAGCTATTGTTTTTATGCCGTAACAAAAGTAACAGCAGGAGGTGAAATCAATGCCCTTGGAGGCTAGGGTCACAAAAAGGAATTTATTGCCACTTTTTTGTTCTGGAACAGTTTGCAATCATAAATTCTTTATAAACAGAATACTTCAGAGAATGGTCCGTCTTCATAAATATACGACAGAGGACATCAATTTCATTTAATTCACAATTTGTGTCAGCGCAGCAGCTGCCAATGCCTGCCTTGATAGCGTTGTTTAATATGCAATTGAGACAGCGTAATATGCAGCACAGGGGACAAAATTTCACAGATTAAACTGTACGCACCACTGACATTTCATTCTGATGTATTTTCATTCCACTGCTCACCTTAGATGAAAGAAATATTAAAAACCATATCCCTCTATTTTACTATTGTTAGAACTTCAAATCCTTGTCTTTAATTTTTTTTCATGCCAATTAAAATGTAATCATGCCAATTAAAGCGGGGTGCCTACTGATGTCGGTGTGGCTCCGGCTTTATCAAGCCCATCTCTCCAGCCTACTCTCCCCAAATTACTGCAAAACTGTACAGTGTTTGAGTGATATAGTGTCCAAATGGCGACTGCCTGACTGACAGCCGACTCCCGGAGACTAATTAAATACTCTGTCTTCAATGCAAGGACAATTTCAAAATTTGGGGTGAGGGATTGATATTCACGACACACTTGAAACAGTTTTCTAAGGGAGCACTGTTATTTATCACATTAGGAACGATACATTTAAATGCAGTGCTGAGGGCTTATTGCTTTATCTCTGAAGCCAATAAAGTTGCCATTCTTCTCTGTTTTGTAAACAACCTTTGGAAAATATCATAGAGTGATCACATTTCTCCTGAGAGCAACGAGGGCGTAGAATTTTGTGGGTGCTGGTTTAAGCCTCCATATTTTAAGGCTAATAACATTAGTTATCACTAAAAGACAAGGTCATAAGAAGTGAGAGCAAGAATTTTTAACATTTGTAAGTTATTTTGAACAACTGTAGAGTGCAGAGAATTTAGATGAGAAACAAGGGCTTAACTGTGCAAATTTTTAATCACTTAGATCACGCATGGCCTAAACGGAACACTGGCATGACTCCAAGTCATCACGGCACATGGAGAGCTCCTAATTCAAAATACTTCTAGAGTATTATTTCTTTAAAAAAAAATTAAAGAGGCAGAAAAACAGAGGGCTTGAAAAATTATGCTCTGTGACTGACACCGCCCATAGTAGTTACTATAACTCATCACTTAGGTAATTGGCAAATTTCACTTACCCTTGATTTGAAGTGAAGGCAATTTCGGAGAGAAGCTGATGGGCACCTACAGGCTAACTTCTCTCTCCTCTGCAACCCAACGAGAGGACAGGGCGGCCTCGGGGTAGCAGAATGCCTATATTGCCTTTTTGCCAGATTCTTGTGTTTCTTTGACTGGGAACTACATGAAATTTTTATTATTACTATTATTATTACTACTACTATTATTATTATTATTAAAGTGCCCTGAAAATTGAGGCACATTTGATTTGGTAGTTTTAGTCTGACCCGAAAGCTACAGTGGCAACTCCACTATTCGCTTTAAGGCTACACGGAACAGTTAAACAGTGGATGCCTCTAACATGTACTTTCAGAACAAATTCTGTTAGCATTCATCCAAGCATGACAGCCAGTGTATATCAGATATACTGTATTAGAGTTGACTTGCTGCATACCCATAAGACACGGCATATTTTACTTACTTTTTTATGTATTAAAGAACCAAAATTATTAAAAATCTGAGAGGAGACAGCTCAGAATAAATTTAAAAAAAAAAAAACCTAAGAGGAAAAGCAATGTTTTCCCCATAATAACATGAGTAGCTTGTTTGAAATGTAAGGAGTGAATTGAAAGAGAGAGATATTTGTGCCTCAAATTAGAAATCAGACAGATAGAGTACTTCACCACACAAAAAAATGTACACATAACCTACAAACAGTAATAAAAATGCAAATACCCCAAGTAGCTCCCATTTTTCATTAATTGAATCCACTTTTTCCAGGAGATCATTTGGTAGAGAGACGCCACCTTTCCGCAAAGCTTCAACCTTGCTCAGTAGCTCTGTCTTTTTCGGGTGCCTGATAGACATTTCCACGCTGTACCGCTGAAACGACAACCCGGGGTAAATCATTAGGGGACATAGGTGCTCTCCGCAAAGCCTTTGAGCAGAATTTACACCGCTTTATGGGGATATAAGGTTTTGTTTTCAAGAAAATTTACTGGGAGGTGAAGCCTGCTCATCTTGGGTGAGGCAGTAATACGGCTGAAGATACTCCAAACATGACCACACAGGCCTCACAGACACTTCTGGCTGTGTTCTTGGCTTCAAAGATTTTTGTCTTTTTAAACTAAGTTTTCACACACATTTTATGTTATTTACTTAAAATATAGTAAATAAGAAAATGCTGGTCCTGGGAGGGTTTGCCAGAGCTACCCCTCTCACTGGACTCTCAGCAGACCTCTCTTGGAGAAGTTCAAGTATTTTTCTTCATGAAACAAGGGTATCAATCACTCTCCTGGGACGTGACCCTTTCTTCTTCAAGGAGAGGCACTTTTCAAATGAAGGTAATTGATAGACGGAAATGTGTGTGCCACAAACGACGCCTATCTTTGGCTGTGAGTCATGAAAGGTAAGAAATGGTGCTTAGTCTCTCATACACTTAGACTTTTTGTACAAAAAGAAAACAAATAACATTATCTTTGAAAGAAAAACATTATCCTTAAGAATTATGTGGCTTATTTCCTTTAAGGTCCCTAAAGTCTCAATTATTATTTTGCTTTGCTTTTATTTAAAAGCTCTGTGAGAGCTAAAGAGAAAAGGCCCATCTAAAGAGGGAGCAAGCAAGCTAGTTCCTTGGGCTAGCTATAGATCTACAATTGCTTATCGATTACCATCAACTGCCCTGAGCTTCTCAGCTGATTACTGAGCTTTCCTGGTCCCACCAATTCGCACTATATTCTAGCAAACTGCCAACTGAGTCTCTTAAGAGATGTTTCCTGGAGACAATGGCCAAAGAGTTTTATGGTGGTGTTCTTCAAACACCTGTATTTGGAAAAGTTCATAGTCAGAACGCCTTATGAATAGCTATAACTATTCATATGATACATATGATAACTGTCATATGTATGTGTGGGAAGGTGTGCACCAAAATATACTTGAGTGTAACAATTAGGTTATGGGGAAAATATTAAATGTATTTTACAATTTAATGCCTATTTCCAAAAATGCCTGTCGTTGAAGCAACAACGTCAGGTGAGGGAACCCGATGGTAGCATTGCTCCTTTCCCCTCCGTGAGCGTGACTGTCCCATGTAAAGACCATCATTAGATCTAACAAGGACAATGTCTGTGTGGGCAAAGCATTGTCAATCTTCAGGTTCACAACACCTCCAAGCACTTGGATGGTTTTTAGTGCCCTCGAAAAAACCTTGTGTAAAACTCCACTAAACTAGGACTGGAATTAGTTTGAATGAAAAGATGTGATCACCGTTTCCGGTGCTAGATCTTCAGCATTCGTGTGCGTCTGTTCGCATGCTTTTAGTTTCGTGTTTGAATCTTCCCTTTGCACTAAACACGCACATCATCTGTATTTTGTAAACTTCTCCAAATGTTAGGCGTTTGCGGATCAAAGAACAAAATGTTTTCAGTGAGGTGATTTAAAGCATTTTATACTATTAATGAATGTTGATCAGGGTGTCAGAGTACCCAAAATTACATGAATATGCATATTGGAGAAAATCAAGGGTTGCTGGAGACTGCTTTCCGAATCTGGACTGCGAAACATGGGGAGTTCTGATTGCATATCTAACTGCAGACAATTACTGGGATCCTGTTACGCCGTTACAGAGAACACACTGTCCACTCAGGTCTTCTCAACTCAACACTCAACAAGTATTCCAGAAACCTCCGTGGTATGTTATTTGTCAGAGTGATGACTGGTGGAGAGGCTTTATGCAATCAGATTCCCATGTAAGATTTACATAACTAATTAGGTAAGACTGACAGAGTGTGGCGGGGGGTGGGGGGTGTGCTTATTTCAGCCAGGCAGAGGACTATTATTCAAATCTTTCCTTATGTCATGTGTATTAATCAACAGAGAGAGTCTTCCAGTGGTGCCTTCTGGGAGTGGCTTCCACTGTTTATTGACTTTTCTTGTGGCAAATTCACCCTCTGTCTTTTCCAGCTTTGAATATCTCTTCCATCACAAGTTAGTAAGAAGTGGGGGAGGACAGTTTAGATCATCTCATGGAAAATAAAACCTTGTGATAATGAAAATACAAAAAAGTAATGAGTTTGATTTTAGACATAGTGAAATATTTTTATCCTATGAAATGTGGTATGAGTAGTTAGGGCAATAGCTACTCCGATGGTTATGAGATTTAAAAATCCTTGTTATTATGCATGCTCTCCTTGTCACTGGATAGCCTACTGCATCAACAGCCCAATGGAAAAGTGATCGATAGGCAATGCCTTCAAACTCTAAAAGCTAAGAGAACCTAGCTAATTGTTAGATATATTGTCCTGTGAATGAATGGAGAGAACTGGAATGCCCTGTAATTTAAAGTGAAAGTATTTGTGTTTTGAGATGCTGGGAAGGTTGACTCTGATATGATTGAAGGCCTCAAGGCTGTGTGCATAATGATGTCAGGAGTGTTGTGTTTCTGTTTACTTCTCGATACACTTGCTCTTCTCTCGTTAGCATCTTTTCAGAAGCATTAGATGGGGGAGAATCAACCATCAGCTCCATCGACTCTTGCTCTGCTATCAAGTGGGCTACTCTATCCTGCGGTGAAACGATAATTTAATCTTCATATTCATTTCACCCACAGCAGCAAAAGAGCAGAAGCTGCCCCATTATGTTCCACAGTCTGGGGATGCTATCACACAGGCCAGGTTTCAATAGTCAAAAACGAGATTAGCAACGTTAAAGTCAGCTGGCTTTTCCTGAGTGCTGAGGTAAATAAGCAGCCAGTATTTGACTTCCCACAGCACCTGCTGTCTAGTCAAAAATAAAATATACTCCATTCAAAGAGCATATTTACATTATTAAGTGTATTTGCTTGGCCAATTCAATTTGGTCTAATGAATCCTCTTAATAGATTTGTGAATGATCTAAATTAGAGACACAGGCTACTAGTGCCCTAGAAGCTATTTCTTTGGGTATAAAAGAAAAGTTAAAGAAAATACAGAGTTACTAGTAGTCCATTGTCTTAGCTAAGAATTAAAATTGACATTCTGATTTATAGTTTATATTTTAAAAGCACAAATGCTAACACTAAATTATAAAACAAAGCCAGTAAAACCAGGGATTTATGAAATAAATACATCTAGTAACAAATACAGACTTGATTGAGATAACTTTTTTTGACACTCACGCCAGGCTTCCCCCCATCCCCTAAGATCTTTCCCCCTTTTCCTTTCTTCTTCTTTTTTTTTCTTTCTTCTTTTCTTTTTTTCTTTCATTTTCCTTTTCTTTTTTTTTCTTTTTTCTTTTTTTTTTTTTGTTAAAAATCACACCGAAAATTCTGCCCAAATGGAGAGTGGAACAATGCCTTGAAACAGTGTTAATTGTCACCATGGAAACCAGAAGAATAAGCCATTTTGAAACTGGTATAGAAGGCACACATTGAGAAACTCAAGCATTTTTCTGCCTCCCTCAATGTTAAAGAACAAGATGCCTTGTCACGGTGAGGTCAGAGAAAGAAAGCATCCTGAAAAGGAGTAGATACTCAATGTCTAGTAAATAAAAAATAATAATAAAAATAAGCCAGATGCAGCTGATGCTGTAAAAGACTCTACCCGGCGAATCTTTTTGAAAGAGAAAGATCGCCAAAAGATAGCTAGGACTGGGGGGGGGGGGTGGCTCCCACCTAGCAAAACTTCAGGGCTACATTATGTGAACCTTGCCCCCAAAGCTCCCTGGGAATTCTGCTGTTGTAATAAAACTTCAGAAGAGGGGAGAAAAAAGGCAGCATGATGGAATTCAAAATAATGCCCTAAAAGCACACAGAGAGATTAAGACATTCTTTGTAAGACTTTTGTGTGGTGCTTCTGGTGTTCATGCTGAAAAGGGACCAGACATTGCTAAACGGAGAGTGAAGCTTTGGCCACAAGAAACACAAGAATTAAAGCAAACAATTTTCTGATTAAAGAATATGGCTGTCCAATTCTGAGTCCTCCGGGTCTGAGTGCCATGCAAGGTGTCGTTCTGAACCGGGCATCAGTTGACTTTATGTGACGAAGAGTTAAGACAGGGACAATTATCTAGTTATAAAAACGACACATTTGAATCTTTACCCATGCAAATTAATATCGCAAATACCTATAGATTTGTGGTGATTATCTCCCCTGCCCTACAACAGGCAGAAAAGGAAAACACAAGAAAATGGCAAAATATATCTTAGTTTATCAATCAGAAAGTGTACGCAAGGAGCACACCCAACCCAACGACCACAAAATAATATGTAAAAATACGTATTTTGCACACAAATGCAAGGACATGTCTGTGACTCTCACACTGTATTCTCTAGCTAGTGTTTGCCCTCCTCATTTGAGACTTCAGTGTGGCCCCTCAGCTAGTCCATGCCTAATGCTATTCACTGGTGAACAAAGAATCTTTCTTAGGAAAGACCAGGTCCACAGCTCAGCTGTGTTGGTAGAGGCCAATGCTGCCTCTGCAGCGGCTCTTGGGCTGCCCTCTTTTAGACCGCCAGCATCCAGCATCTCACAGACTCTGTGATGCTTCACAAGGGGCCAGCATCACCAACACTTAGAGGGGATGTTCAAGATTCAAGAAGAGAGTCCAAGCGCAAGATGAGCGATAGTGGTTACTTCTTGCAAACTGTTTGTATCTTACCATTAGAATTTATGGCGAATAATTGCACAAAGAAATTATAAAGACTCCTACAATTGTCCTTGTAAATTAATAATAGGTTTTCTTGATTGGGATAAATTTGCTGCTGAGCCTTTGGAAAAATTAAAAAGTGCAATGTCATTTAAAATTGCCAGAACTCACACAGCAAATTACATCTGAGGTTAAGAATTGAGTCCCCCCCCCCCACCTTCTAGCTTATTCCATTTGCATGATCTGGAAATCACATTACA